TATGGCATTTGTCTTATAAATTGCATCTAGGCATCTATTGTGTCCTCTTGTCTCCTCCCTCTTCCCAAAAACCCTAAAACCTCTCTCTATTAAAGGGAATAGTCTTCATCTTCTCCAAAATTATCCTCAACCACTCTCTTCAAAGTTCATCTCTACAAATTCTCCAAAAATCATCACCAATGGCTTCTTTTCTCCGTAAAAATACAGGTAAGAGATCAAGGGCCTCATCATCATCTGCTTCAGTCCCTATTACCGCTGTTTCACTAGTTCATCCACCTGCTGTTGAAAACTTCAACAAGAGTCTCAGCAAAAGAGTCATAGTTCCACAGCATGCTTTCTACCAGGCAACGGGGGAGCGCTTGCATCTCACCCAAATTCTGTCTCTGCTGGAAGTTCAGGGGTTCTTCAATTTTCTGGAGTGCAACACAAAGTACAGTGAGGATTTGGTCCGGGTGTTCTACACAAATCTGCGGGGTAACTTTCAAGATCAACATTTCCACACTTCTGTCGGCAATAAACTAGTAAACATAAATTTTGAAGTATGGAACAAGTATTTTGATTTGACTGTCGATGCTGATGCACCACCTCTACATGAGGTAACGGACACTCGTACCGTGCCAGGGTATGAATTTAAGAGCGCTTTGAATGACATGCTCAAAAGACCCTATCCAGATGCCATTGTCAACAGTGATGCTTTTCCTAGAACGGTCACAGCCGAGAAACTCAGTACAGGGGAGCGCATCCTTCAGTGGATTGTCGCTCGCATACTACGACCGAAAAAAGGTGGACTGTCCCGTGTCGAACAAGCTGAGGTGCATCTCATCTATATATTGAAACATAAGATCAAAATAAAATGGCCATACTATATTGCAAGCAGGATTTTTTCTCTGAGAGACTCAAGTAGAGGCACTGCTTTAGCCTATGAGTCATTTATTTCGGAAATTCTTGTCGCAGCAAATGTTGTATACCCAACATTTCCTTGTGTTTCAGTCCCCTCTAACAAAGAATTTAGCACCAAAACCCTTGCAATGATGGGGTATTTTTGGTGTGCTGAACGACGATCATACAGATTTGTCTGTCGCGCCAATATTCCTCCGGTGACTCGTGACAGTTCCGATGACAGCTCTGAAGAAAAAAGTGAAGAACAAGGTGAAGAAGACGATAATGAAGAAGATACAGCTGCAGAGGTACAAGAACTTGTCTGTGAGTCTCAAGACTATCATCAATCTCCAGTTCAAGATACGCCTCCAAATACCGATTGGGTCCAGTATTCAGCTCCATCAGAAGCACAAGAAGACGATTATACAAATCAGGGATGGGTGAATGGCAATACACAGGCTGAACTACCCTGGGTAGATTCTACGACCCATATCACGGCTACTCTCAAGACTATCAACCTTCCCAGCACTCATCACCTCCTCCACCTTCGGACAACTCTGAAGTCATTAATATGCTGCAGTCGATGCAGTTAGATCAACAAAATTTCATGAGGAGTCAAGATACTCAAATGGAGCAGATTAGAGCTGAGCTTCATACCCAAAATGAAAGGTTAAATTCATTTTCAACTCGGATGGACGCCCGTATTGAAGCTCTGGTTGAATTACATGAAAGGCAAGACTGGGAAATCACCGACTCTCTTCATCACCTCAACATGTCCGTAGAAGCCTTTCTGGACTTCTCGGATCCTCACCGCAATCCCGATACTGCATACCGGGGGAGGGGTCGAGGTCGTGGTCGGGGATATAAGTTTCATAGTTGCATATTTCATAATTGCATATGTGTTTCGTCTATGTACTTTTCATTTTTCCGTATTATGTATGCCTTAATATTCACCTACTTTGCATGTTCTCGTAATTATCGCTTAATTCAAGTTACTTTTGTTCATTATCATGCTTATGTGTGAAGTTTGGTAATTAACTATCACATATTGTCTGTTTTCTGTTAATTGATGTGTTCTCCTTCTCTTTTTGATGGTGTCAAAGGGGGAGAAGAACATGTAGCAAGCTAGCCAACAGCAAAGCCAAGTCAGGATATTAACAACAGTTGATGGTTGTTTGTTCTACAGCCTTATATTACAAAAGAAAGGGGGGCTTGTGCATACATGTGTGTATACATTGCATATTTGGTGTTTTTAGTTGTATACAGGTTATCATCATCAAAAAGGGGGAGATTGTGGAGGCAAATCGCCACACATCACACAAGTCTGCAAGACATTGGTCAATGCAGGTTTTGATGATGACAAATTCCCTGGATAGATTGGAAATTATAAACTCCAGATCTACTAAAACAAATGCAACGTATCACCCACCATATCCTTTTATACTTGTCTTAAAACTGCTGTAATGAATATATTATGTGTAGATAAAATGCAATCATGACCAAAGGCATGAAAGACCACAAACTGATGAATTTTTGCAGATTTGCAGGGCATGAGTCGACCATAGGGTCGGCGCATGCATCAGAGCAATTCTCTACTCGTCAGCGCACAAGGCAATGAGTCGACCATAGGGTCGGCACATGAAGGAAAAACTTTCCAACGGGTCAGCGCGTAAAGGCATGAGTCGACCATAGGGTCGGCGCATAAGGGAAATAGTTTTCAACGGGTCAGCGCACGCCGACTGTATGGTTGATGCATATTGATGAATTTTCCAGATTTCCGAACAACACAGACCATGTATCAACGCACAGACCTGCTGCGGTCGACCGTTCGCGCGGAAATTCTATTTTTAAATGATTCCCTCTTATATTTGAAATAATGTTATGTCTAAAATTGGGTTGGCACTATATATACTTGTTTAACCACTTGTGTCATTTTAACATTTGATAATCTTTTGATTCATGTGTTCAAAAACAAGAAAGAGTGAAATAGGTGTCCAAGATTCATCATCTTCATCTTCAACATCTCACAACATTTCAATTACACACAATCATTTTTGAAATGCATTTGTGAGAGATTCAAGGTGATAAGGTTCGAAGCTTAGATTGGAGAATCAAGTTCGGGTTGAAGCTTGTGACAGGTTCTTTCTTGAATAAAACCGTTGGGGTTTTACCCACCAAGATTGGTTTGAATTTTGGGGGTTTTTGGACGAGATTCTTCATCAAGGGTAAACCTAGCGAAGGTGATTGTGAAGAGGTGTTCTTCACAAGTCTAGTAGCGGATTCGGTGATTTTGAAGGAAAGATCTCGGGGTCGATTTGGTGCTGTTGAGATCAGTCGGAGCCGAAGGTTTGAACAACAACGTGTGATTCAATAAGGTGGCTGGAGTCGGAGGTCCATCAACACAAATTGGAGGACTTGATTCATCTTGAATCAAGGGGCAAGGAGTGAAAGTAACCTTCAACACATTGAGATTTCTGTTGTATATTTGCTGCTCAATCCTTGTATAAACTGTTACATTCAACAGGTGATATCTATAAAATCTATCTCAATTCTAGTTTTAGAATTGAGGGCAGACGTACCCCGAAGCGAGGACGACGGGGGAACTGCCTCACCAAATACTTGTCTTCTCTATTTTTCAGCATTTACGTTATAGCTCAAAATAAGTGATATTTGTATAAGCTCTATTGTCAAAATTGTGATATCAATTGAGTAAGAGGTTAAAACTCTGTTTTTAACTCCAAAGTACAACAAGACATTGTACTAGGCTAGTTGGAATCACTTACTCAACATAAATATCACTTGGAGTGTTTTGCACACCAAGTGTTTGACATATTGCTTGAACCAAAATTATCTTACTTGTGTATCTAGTTTTGGTTTGCTCTTTGAATCATTGGAACTAGGAATCCTTACAACTGAAGTAGATAATTGATAAGTGTGATTAGTGTTGTGATTCTATTTTCCAAATTGTCATTAATCCAAAGGCTTACGCATATCCGGTTTTCCAATAACCGTTCGTTTTAGACTATATTTTCCTCGGTCGCTTCCGCAAGTAAAACATTTTTAAAACCAATTTTTAATTGGTAGCGCCGACTCAAATTTTAATTGGGGATCTATTCAACCCCCCTCCCCCCCCCCCCCCCCCCCCCCCTTCTAGATCCTTGCCATAGTCTAACAAGAAGAAATTGAAGGAAAAAGATACTATTGTGGCCATGCCAGTGGCCAATTTAAAGAAGCTGAAAAACACTACCACACCACCTACAAACAACCCCTCGCTGTAAAGATGGGGATCCAAAAGTTTGACTTCTACCTAAGAGGCTACCAATTTGACGTCCAGATGGACAACTCCTCTTTCCCTAAGATCCTTGAATTCTAAAATAAGATGCCTCCCGATCCTCAAACTCTTAGGCTCAAAGATTGGTTTTCCAGATATGATTTCTCGGTAAAACATATCAAGGGAACCCAAAATGTAATCCCAGACCTACTATCCAGACCCATGAAACCCATCCAGATCATCACAACCAAGCACATTTTCCCTCTAATTCTTATGGTCAAACCACTACCAGCCCATGCATTCAAAATAAAGAATCTTCCTCCAGGAATAACGACATCCTCTTCACCGTCCCAACTCAAGCAGTATGCCAGGAACAATCTTTTCTATTACATGACAAAAATCATAAGGAACAAATTACTGGATCATAGTCCTTATTTCCCAGATACACCTCCTGCCAATTTTAATAAACCCAAATGCTAAATTCACAAAAAACCATTTGTGGTATATTTGGTGTGCCACTTGTTTGTACTACATGCCTGTTCTTATTCCCACTGAGGCCATGTACCAGCATATAATGGATCCCGAGAAACACAAGTCTTTGATTTGGACTACTCTTGAATGGTATTCTCTATTACAATGGTTGAGAGATCAATTAAAACCAGTCAGTGAACGAAGATTACTTTCAGAAGATATTGGAAAACTCAAGTCTGTTTGAGGACGATACAATTAAAGCTGGGTTTCAGGTATGTAAGGCTCCCGGACAGTGTGGTATTAGAGCCTAACAGAATAGAAGGGGTGCATATGGTATGAATATAATAAAGAGAGTGAGTAAGGGAGAAATCACTTAAACATGGAAACACCTGAACCAAAAACTCAACCTATTACCACTACTTCTTCTTTATCACTTCCTAAACTCTGTAAAAAGACTAATTCTCATAAAATAGAAAACCTTATTGAGTACTCTCATGTTCCTGAAGATGCTCAAATTTCTGAAACAATACCTCCTCTGTTGAGTTCGTACAACATCTTCAAAAGACAAAGAAGTGTTACCAGATCAATCCAAAATCTTATCTCTACAAACCGCCCTCATATGAAAGAGTACGTCCAGTCATCTAGACTAGACCAATGCAGCCTAAGAGCTACAAACCAAGAGCAGTACGTAGATCTGGAGATTCCCCAATATCTCATAAACCACTGGAAAACTGAAGGATATACAACCTTACGTTTTGGGGCTGTCAGACTCATCATTTCTCTTCATGGAAGGAAGAACCAACCCGTCTTTTGCAAAATAGATCTACTGGACTCCAGCTACCTCCACTATGAAAATGTTGTGATAGGAACTATTCTAACTACACTTCATGCAGGAAGTGTTGTCCTCACCATCTTCCCAAACTATAACGTGAGTCTTAATGATAACACCTTATCCACAAGAATGAAAGTACATATCCAAATCACTGGAACTGACCAAGTGCCAGAAGCTATGTCAGCTACCCTCCATCACCAGATAATATATCGCTTACAAAAACGCTCGATAGATCTTCCTATATCAGGATTCTCTTCTGATTCACTATTGGTTGTCACCAATAGAGAAGAAGACATACCCTCCATAGTTCAGATTCCAAGAAACATCACAAGGGAAGAATTAACTCAGCTAATTCCCTTTGAATGGATAACCAACTATGAGAAACTTCATGTTAACAAAAGACCTATACAATCTCAAGAGGCTACTTTCAGGAGATACGTTGACAAGACAGACAAGACGATCTTTAAAAAGCCAGACGAAGGGTCGAGCTCAATATCTCCGATCTTCCAAACAATAATGATCCAACCAGTTCTCAAATAAGATTGGTGTCCTGTCTATGATGTTACAACATAGGAAAAACCCATCTACACCGATAAAATAGATGGCCACTTCATTTGGGATATTGATCAAACAAGATGTGACCCATATTATGACTACTGGATGCACGACGATGATATTGACCGAGATATCATTCTTCCCAAAACAAAGAAAAAGGGAAGGTGTAAACCCTCGCCACCTCCTCAAAGGAGATCTGATCCAGATAATGGTTCATGGGTAGGAATCCATGGAAAAAAGAAACCCCTCTGTATCTACGAGGAAGGACTTAAAATCCTCAAGAAAGAAGGATTTTTACCTTCGGATGATCCGACTCTTATTACATGGTCACCAACAGACCATTGTAAATCGCTATATCCTCCAGGTGTTGCTCAACTAATTACTTGCTTTATGTATTCAACCACAACTTCAGAGTACGACCGACAATTTCCTGCTTTAGAAAGAAAGATGGATCCAACCACAGGCAGAACATCTAAAACCTTCATTCATCCGAGTGAAGTCCAGCCCGATGGGAAGCTTAAACCTTTAACTCAGGCTGAGGAAGTTCTGAATTGGAAATCTGAAAACATGGTTTCTCAAAATGAAATTCTTCAAAACCTTGACAAAAAGGTAGATAAGATTGCTGAAAAAATAGACGAGACAGATGAAGATCTCAAGGTTTTATCCCAAAAAATGCAGAAACATTACAGAAGCTTGAAAGCCCAAGTATCACAACTAGATCGGGATTTGCGGCAGATGTTAGAAGAAAGAGCTTTTGATAAAACATTTGACCAAAAGGAAAGAGAAATCAGAAGTCTACAAAGCCAAGTAAAAGAGATAGATGATTTCTTAAGAGCCTCTCATGAAAGAAAGCCCAAACCGGTTGAAAACTCTTTCTTGGACCCTCCTACTTTTCCTACATATTTCAAACGACTAGAAAGGCCTTCTCCTTTCTACCCCGCCTATGTTTCATCACCATCAGACCCAGTTAAATACATACCAACAGCTTACAGACCAAAATCTTCCAGAACTACCACTACCTCAGCCTCCAATACAAAGGGGAAAGTTGCCTGCTTAAGCGCTTCATCCTCAGACTCTCAAGATATCCCTGAAACACCCCCTTCAAAAATCCAAAAGGAAGAAGAAATTCCTAATAAAGGTTTCCAAGCCATGGCAATCACTACAAATCACGAATCTTCTCGGAAAGATCACTCTGAATCATCAAAACAAAATGGAGACGAGTCCTTCTTAGATGGTGACAACAACTCTGATCCAGAATCATCTTCTGATGAGACACCAAGATCTTTTTCAACTAAATCAGAATCTGAAGACAACTATTTCCCAAGACTCTTCATGGAGAATGTAAAAGAAGAAGAATCCTTTTTTGAAGAGGAAACACCTGAAGAAACTCTTGTCCCTGAAAGGACTAAACCAAACGAAGGTCCTTGGTTCAGAAATTTGAGCATCTTCAGGAACATGAGAGTACTCAATAAGGTTTTCTATTTTATGATAATTACTCTTTTTACAGAGTTTAGGAAGTGATAAAGAAGAAGTAGTGGTAATAGGTTGAGTGTTTGGTTCAGGTGTTTCCATGTTTAAGTGATTTCTCCCTTACTCACTCTCTTTATTATATTCATACCATATGCACCCTTTCTATTCTGTTAGGCTCCGATACCATACTGTCTGGGAGTCTTACATGCCATGAAACCCAGTTGTAATTGTATTGTCCTCAAATAGCCAACCATAGGCATAACACGGACTAACAATTAAAACTGAAATTCATAACAGCAAGGACCGTAGTATGGATCAATGGTCAGATGTTTTCTGATACACGAGATCCTCATTTAGAGGCAGGTGTAGAGCATACTTGCATCTATGGGGGAATTATGATATGAATACAATAACTAAAGCTTTGAGGGAGAAAGAATAGATTTTTAGAACATGTTTGTTCTTAAGCACACAAGAGAGTTTATTTGTGAATGCTTGATGAAAATATGTTACGAGAGCCCTCCTTTTATAGCCAAGGAGGTACATATAGGACAAAAGCAACACTATTTACAAGCATGGCATTTAGAATATTATATGAATGTCTTTTTTAAAAGTCCGACACACTTATCTCTAATGGATTACATTATTGTAGTCTTATTGCACAAAAAGACAAAAATTTACTATTCATAAGCATGCTTGTGATCTTTGAAGGACACTTGTCCATTTAGTCTTTGCAAATGGGTTCATGAGAGGGGGACATATTTTGATCAGATAAATTTTCATCATAAAAGCAATCTTCATAGCAAGATGACTCATGCTGCCAGCTATCATCCATCATGTAGGTGTGATCTTCTAATCTCATATTAGCTTCTTCCACTTGTCCTTCAGAGAATTCAGCTTCCATTGGAGAATCTGGTTTCTGTTGTGTGGCTTGAGTCGAGCTTTCTCCAACTTCCGGTCTTATAAACTTTTCATGATGTATGCAAGTTGAACTTTCATCAAGTTTCTTTGGATCATAGAGATTGATGTAGTTAACATATTCCAGTAATTTCCTTGTGACTTTTAGACTGGGAGGATATTCATCAATGGTTTCCCATTGGTGAACATAACTCTTATAATTGAGCAGATTAGTTACAGGATCTGTTAGATAAGGCCAGTTTAGAAAGAAAACAGACTTGAGTTTTCTAATATCTTCTAAAGGTAATCTTCGTTCACTGACCTCTTCTATGCCTGGTTTTAATTGATCTCTCCACCATTGTAATGGAGAATACCATTCAAGAGTGGTCCAAATCAAAGACTTGTGTTTCTCGGGATCCATTATATGCTGATACATGGCCTCAGTGGGAATAAGAACATGCATGTAGTACAAACAAGTGGCATACCAAATATACCAGAAATGGTTTTTTGTGAATTTAGCATTTGGGTTTATTAAAATTGGCAGGAGAAAAGGTGTATCTGGGAAATAAGGACTATGATCCGGTAATTTGTTCCTTATGATTTTTGTCATGTAATAGAAAAGATTGTTCCTGGCATACTGCTTGAGTTGGGACGGTGAAGAGGATGTCGTTATTCCTGGAGGAAGATTCTTTGTTTTGGATGCATGGGCTGGTAGTGGTTTGACCATAAGAATTAGAGGGAAAGTATGCTTGGCGGTGATGATCTGGATGGGTTTCATGGGTCTGGATAGTAGGTCTGGGATTACATTTTGGGTTCCCTTGATATGTTTTATCGAGAAATCATATCTGGAAAACCAATCTTTGAGCCTAAGATTTTGAGGATCGGGAGGCATCTTATTTTTGAATTCAAGGATCTTAGGGAAAGAGGAGTTGTCCATCTGGACTTCAAATTGGTAGCCTCTTAGGTGGAAGTCAAACTTTTGGATCCCCGTCTTTACAGCGAGGGGTTCTTTGTAGGTGGTGTGGTAGTGTTTTTCAGCTTCTTTAAATTGGCCACTGGCATGGCCACAATAGTATCTTTTTCCTTCAATTTCTTCTATCAGGACTGCTCCCCAATAATGATCACTGGCATCGGTCTGTAGAATTCTTTTTCCATTCCCAAGGATTTTTAGAGCATGAGGAGTTTGTGCAATTTTCTTTAAGGCTTTCACTACTTCGGTTTGTTTGTGTTCCCATGGTGGAGGTTTTTTCTTTAGCATTTGGGATAGAGGACTCGTGTATCTCGCTAGTTTCGGCAGGAAATATCAAATATAATTAATTATACCAAGAAATTGTTGGATTTGCTTAACTGTGAGATTTTCATCAGGAAAGTTTAATAGTTCTTAGGCAATATGAAGTTGAGGTTGATATTTCCCTTGTGATAAATGCATCCCTAGGAAATCAATTTTTGTTTGTCCCAATTGACTTTTCTTTTCAGAGAGCATCATTCCATGTTGTTGGGCTATTTGAAGAAATTGGCCCAATAATTGTTTATGGGTTTTTTCATCTTTTGAGAACAATAACACATCATCAATATAGATGAGGATATTGTTGAGGATGGGCTCAAAAATTCTATTCATGGCTTTTTGAAAGAGTGATGGGGCTACCTTAAGCCCAAATGGTTACACGGTCCATTGGTACTGGCGTTAGGAATGCAGAACGCCGTTTTATAGCGACCTTCAGGGTTGATACCCAATTGCCAAAATCCTGACTTAAGGTCGAACTTAGAATAGATTTGGGCATCTTTGATGAAAACATTTAAGGACGAGGATTTTGGAATGGGAAATTTATCATCTTTGAGAAAATGATTTAGAGGTTTGTAATCAATTACTAGCCTCTTTTTTTCCCTCAACTTTTTAGATCTCTTTTCCACATAGAATGCTTGGCAAGCCCATTCTGATTTGGTGGGTTCTATCAGACCTTGTTTGAGCAGTTGGTTGCATTCTTCCCTAGCTAATGCGTAATTTGATGGACTCATCCCTGGATGAGTGGCCTTAGTTGGATTACATCTTCATTGAGCTTGAAGGGAAGTTGAACGAAGAAGTCTTTATTTTTCTACAGAGGTTTTGGGTGGCGGAATTTTTCATGGTTATCTGCACATAGTCTGAGAAGGTTGGACTTGATCTCTTCATAGCCAGCAGGAACCTTAGAAAGTGAATATAGTTTCAGTATCCCAGAATAAGGTTTGAATTCTCTTTTGAATCTGATTCTTGTGGGGGGGAATTTGGAGTTTAATTGCTGATAAATAGACATCCATTCCTACTACAATATCTTTGTTTGGAAGATTACTGCCAATGACCTTGGTCCAGACTATGCAGTCTGGGAAGAATTTAATTCCTATTTTCTCCTTGGTCATTAGATTTGTCTTGAAAACTTTTCCATCCGCTGCTACAAAGTATGCAGTATGTGTCACCCATGATTCTGCAGGGAGAATGTTGGGATTCATCATGGTAATCTGGGCCCCATTGTCCATATAAGCTATAACTTTCTTTGGACGGGAAAACTTTGTTGCGAGAACATGGACTTCAACACAAGGAAGTGGTGTAGTAGGAAGAGAACTGCCTATCTCTTTGATGGAGTAAA